CCCCTACTCTACCTTGGTATAATAACTGTCATGCTGTCAGACAGCCCCTACTCTACCTTGGTATAATAACTGTCTTGCTGTCAGACACCCCCTACTCTACCTTGGTATAATAACTGTCTTGCTGTCAGACAGCCCCTACTCTACCTTGGTATAATAACTGTCTTGCTGTCAGACACCCCCTACTCTACCTTGGTATAATAACTGTCTTGCTGTCAGGTTCCTGCTCTACCTTGATGTAAAACTTGGTTTGTTCTCAGACGGTCCCAACTCTACTTGGATGTAAAAACTGTTTTGTGTCAGATGGTCCCTACTCTATCTTGGTAACAGTTTTATTGTCAGATGGCTCCTAATCTTCCATGGCATAAAAACTGTTTTGTTGTCAGATGGTCCCTTTCCAAAACCTTTCCAAATAAAAGTCACAAAATTCCTATAATTTCCTATATTACATGTACTGCCCCAAAGATGAAAGACTAAATGAGGCAGCAAGGGAATCTCCAACATTATAGAAAGCCTGATCATAGTTTCTTTGAGAACCCTGGGCTTGTACCAGTCTTCTGAACAAGCCTACAATCTATGGATAGGAATGTTCAATGCAAGTGAAAAAAACAAAACTTTCGGTTATCATGTAATAATATAAACAGCACCAGCTCAGACTGCAGTGAGAAATCTGTGGGCCGTGGTGATACTGTTCCTGAGAACAGAGTGTGGGTTCTCCGCACGACCCCGGTCATCCCACAACCCGGCGTGAAACTGGACAGCAGTGAGCTCTCTGTCTCATGCAGGTTAAAGGAAAATAAGTGACTGGGAGCCAGTGAATGAAATGACACTGTGTCGGTCTGTGGGGAAATCCACTCATACAGACACAAATTCCATGAGGACATTTACACACAAATGCATTCCTCCAGACACCACCCCCTCTCCCCAGGACCCCCACCCAGGGCTCTGTGCTTCGTCAGCTTGAGACGCTCTCTCCAGGATTAATATGTCTCCTTAAGTCACAGATGACATCATGCTCGGTGAAACACGCCCAGGTTTCAGTGGACGGGAGCCAGGTCTACATCTGAAGAGGGGGGGGGGCACCCACTCCCCCCCCCACAGAAACCACCACGGTCACCTGACTGGCAATGTGGTGAGATGGCCCTACCTCGCCAGAGAGCCCGTTGCCTTCCAGGACAGGAAATCTGGGAGGTCCATGAAATGAGCTGCTCGATCCCAGCATGTCTCCCTCAGGTTCTGAAGGGCAGAAGAGAACCTGTTCATGACCTATACACCCCGTCCCCTTACACCACAACCTGCCAAACACACACTGGACCACATACACTGTGTCCCGCATCCTGTAAACTCACACCCTGCTGCTTTTATACAATCTGCTATGTACAGTTCCCAAGCCTGGTTCCTTAAGTGCTATGCCATCTGCTGGCCAGCAGTAGAACATCCAAAGAGGGGAGTAGCGCTGGTGCGAAAGGCCCTTGGCAAGGTGCCCTCACCTCTTTTAGCCACAGCAGCTTGGGGGGCTGCATCTCTAAGAACATGGTCCCCCCCATGCGGTGCAGCACGCTATGGCCTGTGGCAGTGATGCGGGCGGCCTGCTCCGAGGCGCGGTGGTCCATCCACATCACTACGTTGTGGTCCCGTAGGCCTGCAGACACACACAGGACACTGTAACTGCAACTGCAACTGCAGCATTGACTAGTAATTGGTGGTGTGAAACAACCGCATGAATGAAGTCTGGTACTTTGCATGTGGGTGCAAATAGTCCTCCAGCTTCTATCGTCCTTCAAGTCTTGAAGCATGGATTGACCCAATGAATTATGGGTATTAACAGAAAAATCTACTGTAAGATGCCGAGACCAGTACGTTTAAAGTCCCTTCTGACGGTTCCCGGGGGACGGAGGTTGATGTGTTATCTGAGGTCTTCAGAAACAAAGATATGAGGCCAATTCTGGCATCTTAAAGAAAAGTAAAACTCCCAAAGTAAAAAGTAGTTTCGGCTGACTACAAGCAACAAGGCATTTGACTCAGCTGTTAATGGGATGGAGAGGAGTCCCCCTCCCCCTGGCGCTCCTGATGCTATGCCTGGTTCAGCCACGTGGGGCTTTCAGTAAAGGTGTCGTCCACTTTCCATACATCTCCAAAATAAGGAAAAACATATTAGAAGGCTGGACAGCAAAGCCATTATACTCTCTGTTTCCAGGCTCCGGTTCTGTTGGACCTTCTGATGGCCGATAATGTTCTACAAAACTGTCCACACACCCTTTTTTTTATGGAACAAGAATGTCTTGAAGTTTCTAACTGTGTGCCCCGGAAACCCAAATCCAAAATGTCAGTTCACTCATTACATATAATTCTCTTCCTGGTGAATCAGGCACCCAGATGGGACTCCAGTCTATCGGCAGACATGCGGCTGCACAATCCTCAAATACAACTTCAGGACCTCTGTAACTAGTCCAGGCCCTGACCAATGGTCTAGATCACAAAAGGAGAGGGAGACATACTTCATCATGACAGCCTCACTCCTCTGTTATTACTCCTCTAGTCTAACTGCTGTCCCCCTTTCTGTTCACCCACAGCTCTACACACTTCCAGCACCATGTCATCCACCCACCAGCATCCCCAGGAAAGCTCGAGGCCATGACTCAGCATTCCGCTCTGCAGATGATCCTCAACCTCGCCTGCCAGATCCCCAGCAAGAGACTCAGGCACCTGGTCAGGAGCTACCTCCTAATACCTTAAAGTCAGAGGAGGAGGTGCCCTAGAAGGCGTCCATAAGGACGCCACCTTGACCCAGCCAGCAGAGGTGCGCAGCTGCTCTGGTTTTAGAGCAACATTGGGTTTGCACTCTACCAGTCACGCATCACCAGGCCTGTGGTGGGCGGCGGGGCAACTGGTCACTTACCGTCCCGGTTGACAGCTACTGGCTCAAAGTGGGCGTCCAGAACCACGAGGGAGCAGGTGGCGTCAAAGCCGATCCCTCGGATTTGGACCTTCTCAACGGCCTGAGTCACCTTCTGCAACCCCACCCCCCCAAAAGCCATTAACGATGTTAGCTTCTCTAATTATAGAGGAACCGTAAATGAAAGGCTATGGTAGAACATTAACATTGTCACCTAATCCGATATCCCTCATTATCAGAGGGTGCAGGAGAAATAGTCCTCAAAACATAATAAACAATGACATGACTGACAGCACTCATGAAGGTTGTAGGCAAGACTCCCCAAGGCTCCAATCGCATGCTCAGTACATCACTAAGGACTAGTGCAACTTTGATAAGCCCCAGATCATAGCTACAGATGCTTCGGGTATTTTGCCTGTTTCACTGTATTATAACTGCCATGGATTTTTATTTGTCTTTAGGGACAGCATTAGACTGCAGTGAAATGTCACTAATCCACCCTTAAATACCCCAAGAAATCAACTGTCTGATTTAGCATCTCTCGTATAAAAAAGTCTTAAAGTATAAAACTTGTATAAAAAAGTAGAAAAAAAGGAGACTTACTAGACTTATTATGTTAGAATGTCAGAAGTCTGTCTACTTTTTAATGCATTTTTTATTTACCTTTTTGGGCACAAGCCTTTGCCAAACGTATAAATGTCTAAGTAAACAAATTGCAAAGGGGTAGCATGCAGAACAATCAGGCCCGGCTCCTGCTGTGAAATGTAGGGTGGGCCATAGGACTGTTTAATGGAGCCAGGGAGGCGGGACGGCAGACCCTAGAGTTTACAGGTGGGCCAAACAATATTGCTTACTGCTTGGTAGGTGGACAAACCATCTCACCCACGTGCAGCTCACCGGCCAGCAGCAGCCACTGCTAACGCACAGACTGCATAGAAGTCAGCTTTCATACAACTCAAACTCAAAAAATTCCATGCAGAAAGCTTAGTTGCTAGGCTTGTTTTTTTTTTTTTTTTAAGTTACCAAAAAGGTGGGCCAAGTTTATGATTGGGTGGATCAGGCTTATGGCTGGGTGGGCCAAGTTTATGATTGGGTGGATCAGGCTTATGGCTGGGTGGGCCAAGTTTATGATTGGGTGGATCAGGCTTATGGCTGGGTGGGCCGAGTTTAATGAGATGCAGTAAAGAGACGCACCAACTCTGAGATGCAGCGAGACGTGCCCACCCTGAGGCGCAGTAAAGAGAGGCACCCACCCAGAGACAAAGCAACAGAACATACCCACCCAGAGACCCAGTAACGAGACACACCCACCCAGAGACCCAGTAACGAGACACACCCACCCAGAGACTCAGTAACGAGACACACCCACCCAGAGACCCAGTAACGAGACACACCCACCCAGAGACCCAGCAGCGAGACGTGCCCACCCTGAGACCCAGTAACGAGACACACACACCCAGAGACCCAGTAACGAGACACACCCACGCAGAGACCCAGTAACGAGACACACCCACCCAGAGACCCAGTAACGAGACACACCCACCCAGAGACCCAGTAATGAGACACACCCACCCAGACACATGGTAATGAGATGCATCCACCCAGAGACGCGGTAACGAGACACACCCTGAGATGCAATAATGAGACGCACCCATACTGAGACGCACCCACCCTGATGGCGCGGCAGCACTGCCCCCAGATGTCGTCAGATGACTGGACGTAGTGGCCTGGACTCGGCTCCCATATGCGGATGGGCTCCTCAGCCGTGGCCTTGACCAGCCCAGTCCGGGTGACGAGGGCCACACGCACGCTGGCCGTGCCGACATCCACGCCCAGGTAGTACTGCTCCACTGAGCACGGGGGCTGAGCCATTGCCACTGACCTGCGAGGGGAAAATACTGAAGGTTCCCTTTACTGGTCTACATTCAGCATTTGCCAATCTGCTCTACAGGGGTCACAGACATGTTTTTACAAGGTTTCAACTTGTTTACTCAGGGATTTTGTTATTTAAACTTGGAGGGGGTCTTTCATGGACAGAAAAACTAAGAAAAGAAGCTTAATTAGGATCAGGACAAACAACGTCAGAGAATAGGCAACCTAGGAATACCTTTCAGACATGCTATTTACCCACTATGACTATGTGAGATTATCTCAACCAGTTTATCTCGCTTGTGTGGTAAGATGTCTTTACTCATCACAATGATAGAAGGGATAGAAGGTGTGAAAGAGAACAATGTATATACTGACAAAAAGGTATTCCACATAAACCATTTTAAGTTGTAATACCCATGTACTCATTATAGATGCATGAACTATATACTAATGCAAGACCGTTATCATGTAAACGGAGTACAAACGTGGACTAGACCGTTTCAGAGATTTCAGGAAAGTCCGTGCTGTAGCCAAAATAATTGGCAGGATTCACTCGGTTGATATCCAGATGTCTACATGGCAATGTGTCAACTATATATATATGAAAGTCACTGTGGGTGTAGGTAAAACTGGTAAATTATAATGTTCACACAGGACAAACCAGGTACGATGCATGCAAAATATGAATCAATCGCAAGAGGAAATTAAAACAAAACATTCTACTGTGGTTTGTTCTGTATACTAAATGCGTAATGTTGTGCGTGCATTTAAAGCAATTTCAACAAAAATCTTTTATATATTAATGTACATAGCACATGTATAATAGTGTATAACCATAACACTATATATGGATATATTGCAAATGTACCGTGAACATCACACAAATTAAATAGTGGAGATGCTGCGAAATGCAGAGGATCGACTTAATAAACGGAAGTACACTACGTCGTTTTCCTCATTGCGCCTGGTGATATGTATACACCGATCAGGGTAACCGTTGTCCAAATAGATTTCACTGTTAATACTTGGAATTTGTAAGTGTTTTAGGTGGCTTATTCATAGAAGGTAGCCAGCCAGACTTTCGTTGCTACTCGACAGACAAGAGAATGTGCCACTGATTTTAACAGATAATAATAATTATCTGTACTAATTCGGCAGGTGAACTTCTATAACTGACTGTAATGTCTTACCATATAACGAGGGAAAAAACGAATCAGTGCGTTTCCCAGAATTCCTTTCAACGCAAACTCAGGTGAACGGGGAATGGGAAGCACCGAAGGACAAAAAGGACCAAATATACCGCGGACATCGTATTTCACGTTAGAAGACTTTAAAGGTCCTTATAGTTCATTTAAACAAAATACATTAAAAAAAAGCATTAAAAACGTATATCACGTTTAGCACGTTTATTTTCTTATTAATTGAACTGAAACCAAATCATATATGACTGTCTGTCTATGTCGGATACAATAATTAGTGTTTCCCGGTCTATTAAACTATAGAACATAATTTAAGCACCTTAAAATCAATTTAAATTGCCGTTTTCCGTTTATACAGTCTAAGACCACGGCGTGTATAATTTGTAATATGTTTTGTTTAATAAAACTTGTGTTTTTCTTGGGCCGGATCAGTAGAGAAAATTACATTTCAATCAAATCGCAAGCAGACTTCAGCCAAGGCCAGGTTAGATTAACACTTCGGTGTTTTCCTGATATGAAATCTGCGCCGCATGGCAGGCCTCCAATTTTAAATTACTCATTCAAGTATTAATCCACTGCTGCTTTTCATTAAGGAAAAAGCAAGGCGCTTACCATCTCTCATTACAATAATGTCATCCATTTCATTCAGGTCTGCAGCTGTTTGCATCAGCATCAAATGTACGTTTATAGATACACAAATACATATTATATATTATGTATTATAAATATGTAATCTTTGTAACACCCTTTAAAAAGCACCGAAAGTGCCTTAAGTATTAGTAAGTAGGTCAGTTTAACAAAGTAACAGTATTACATATACAGTATGTTTTGTATATATGTTTGTCTTGCTCTCTACTGGATGTAGTTAACTGCTTATACTGTATATACTGCATATATCCAGCTCTCCATCTTCTAACCATTTATCCTGGTCAGAGTCACCAGGGGGTGTGCAGACGTCACAAAGTGGTTGTACACCCTGCATGGGATACTAATTACTGGGCACCTACACACACAGGTAATTATAATTATATCCTTGTGGGGACTCTCCATTCATTTCTATGGGGATAACTCTAATCACAACATGACGACCTTAACCATAAGTACCTAACCATAAATATAATAGAGACTTTTGCCATCTTTAGATTTTTGATTGCATTCACAGAGCTTTTTGGAGATCTGATAAATGGTCCCCATTTTATTACATTGTGGGGAACATAATCCACACACATACACACACACACACCCTATGGGCCATTTAGAGCTGCCTTTTCACCTAATATTTGGAGGAACCGGAATTCATTGAGGAAAGCCACTTTACAGAGAGAGAGCCTGCAAACTTCAAAGGTGGGATTCAAACCCACACCCCTCCAGGTGTGAGTCAAAAGTCACCATGGCTTTTAATGTATTTTAATGAGCTAAATGAGATGAAAAACAAATACATGAACCTGGTGTTTAAAGGAAACAGATTTGACTGCAAAAAAAAAACAAGTTAATACCAAACACAAAATATATCAGTCCAACTTTTTGATCAAACTTTTATTTGAGGTATTTTTAATTGTTATCACATGAGATGTTTTGCTTCCAAAACAATGGTAATATATTACTATCCACTTTGGCAAACTGAAGGGAAGATCAGGGATATCAAGGCAAAGGGATTAGTTGTCATTGTTGACACACCATGCATAACAACAACAAAATGTGTCCTCTGTATTTAACCCATATATGACATTGTGACATAGCAGGGGCAGCTAATTCAGCACCCAGGGAGCAGTACCTCAGTGGTTCCTTGCTGGGTGGGGATTTAAACCAGCAATCTTTCAATGACAAGAGCACATCCCTAACCACTAGGTCACCACTGCCAAACAGAGAAAACTTGAACCACAATCTTAATACAATGTACATTTTGCATATCTGTAGTATATCTTATTTTACTGTTTCGCTGCTGAACAAAGGAAAAATGGTGAGATACATTTAAATGATAAAGTTTCAAAGTTGCAACAATTGAGAAATGAGATAAACATTAAGACGTTCATCAAAGCAAGTAAATATATTATCATACAGATTCAAATATGAATATATCTGTTCCCCACAATGTCGGGAACCTCTTTCAGGCACTTAAAAATGATGGATGGCAACCTTAACATCAAAAGTACCTTCAGGTACAACATTAAATCTTGTTAGGTAAGCCAGTTGATGGGGAGAAGAAGGACAATGTGTACACTATGCAGTTAATATTCCAAAGGCATTCCTCTGTATAGTAATGAATCAAATTCTTAATGTTACTGTCATTTATACCAGTACAGGACAATGAGAGTGGAAGTGCTGGTCCAGAGTACTGGCTGGGTTACTTGTTAGTGGAAGACTCAAGTTTCAAGAAGGACCGGTTACTGGCTTTTTTTTTTTAACTCCAGAAAAAATGTAATAATCGCACAATTATGAGAGATAAATATTGCAGCAAGAACATTCTGTTCCCAGAACCTCCCTGGTAACCCACGAGAGTCAGCTTTCACAAAGGTGTGCCCTGTGGTAACATCCAAGCCTTAAGTGCCAGTCCTGCCCAGGCAGACCGCGTGGCCAGGTATGCGGGTGGGGCCACATCTTAGGGAGCAGGAGCCCCCTAGCAGAGAGCTCAGTCTTGCTGGGCTTTCATACACACTTCTCCATCCCTTTCTTTCGTAGCTTTGAAGTGTACGACAGGGGTCCAGGCAGATCTACAGGCACCCCCCCCCCAACTGACATTTGTCAGTGCCCCTTCCCCACCCCTTACAGATCATCGTGGAGTCCATTCACACTTGGTGATGTGTATCTTTAAAAAGCAGATTCATCTTTCCCAGGGCAAGTGGGTTCCTGGGGAGTCCATCTTGACCTGTGAAGCCCAACAGAGCTTGTAGTGCTTCCTGATTATTTTTTGGTGTTTGCTCTCTAAACACTTCCCTCATAAATCACTCGAGTTCCTACTGAGCTCCATCCAACTCTACCCAAATCTCACGGCATTATTGGATAGCAAACGATGGCAGGTCTTCGCCTGCATGGATCCCGCACATAACTAAACAAACGGTTGGTTTCTTCCTTTCTCCTGCTACCGTGGCAAGGGTGTCTGGTCGCCTGTGTCTTTTGGACAGTTGTGCAGTTTGATTGCATTTGTTGAGGGATTTTGGAGTGCAGTCAAAAAAAAAAAAAAAAAAGTTCTGGATTTAGGTTTCCGAGCACGTAAAAGGTGCACCTGACCCCTCCGGTAGTATTTCCAGCCTCCCCCCACCCGTCCTTGGTTCGCTTCACCAATCGAGGGGATGGCTCAGCTGGCCACACCGCCGCCGGCTCCATTAGTTTAATGCGTCGTGCCCAAAATGATCCAAGCGGTGAAATTAAAGAGCAGATCCGTCTGACCCTCTGACAGCTCAGACGAACAAGGTCTTAATTGCGCCGTTCGGATGGCTGGCTGGAAGGTTTTTTTTTTTTTCTAACGTTCTGCCCCAGACATGATGGCCGGGCCCAGGGGCCGGTCCAGGACAGGTGCCCCCCCGCCTCTCCCCCCTCCCCACCACACCCTCAGAGCTTAATGTCCTCTCTGTTCCAGAAAATACACGTAGCTGTTGCGTTCGGCAGTTTATTTGCATAGCCTGTGATCCATTTACAGAGCCTGTATTCTACACGAGCAGTTCAGGAAAATCACAAGTACAGTCAGGAATTTTTTGATTCAGGTACCTGGAACCTACCATTAACACCTCAAAGTCCAAGACTGTTCCACGTTGACTGTTTCCCCAACAGCACCCGGGTTTGCGAGGGGTCCTGTCAAGCTTCTGCCTCATCGCCCAAGGTCAGAGCCATCCATCTGAAAGGCATTCTGGGCCAAGCACAGAAACGGGACTGGGCTTTCATTTTGCCTGGCTTCTCCCTCCTCTGCATTTCCAGGGAGATGGTGCCTGAGCAGTGAAAATGGCAAGCGTGGACAGGTTTACCATACTAATGACAGGGCTTTCGCTAAGCGCCTCCGGTTTCTGACTATCTGCCCCATTGCAGAAAGCGGAAACCACAGCTGAACTTCATGGAGAGAGTTTTTAGGACACAGCATGGCCACACAAATCACCTGTGATTATTCATCAGTGAGACTCTGAGGTCAGCATTTAGCCACGCGCTAATATTGCACAATTAGGAAACTCTTCCTGTTTCAAATGTGTGAGTACATGTGACCACCTCTAAAGGTAGGGTAAGGTGACAGCAATTATCTGGGTCAGCGCCCCCCACCTGCTCCTTGTTTACAGTGCATGTATAAATCGCCGTGCTCTGTTTTGTTTAGTCCCCCTGGTAACTTGGACCGAATTGTTGGCGCCCATCCCAAGACCTGGAGCCTCAACGTGTTCACCCCACCCCCGCGCCCCCCCGGCAAACGGCAACACATTTTTTCCGTTTATATCTTTCTTGTCAAACCAGCAAAATTATTTTGACCACCCCCACCTTTCGATACACGGTTGCTATCGTGCCACCCCCTACCCTGATCTGGTAAATTCCCTCAGCAATCTTCGGGTTTGTGGTCAAGCCACCGAGTCACATGGCTCTGTTCACTCTTGCACAAACAGACCTATTCGCCAACATGGGCCACCGCCACCGCATGCACCGTTGACGCACCTGTGCATGCCAAAGCAACTCATCGCACGACGGCTTCAACGGGAAACATCGCATCCCCCTGAATGTCCCTAGGCAATGCTTTCATATGGGTGTATTTCCTGCTGCTTCAGGTTTCTGGTCGTTGCGATCGCAGGTAAATAAAGCAGCCAAATGCCCAGCTAATACGAAGAGGGTTTGTCAACTGACTTTTCGTGTTTTAGACGCGGAAACAGGGAAAAAATGGGTCGGTAAGGAAAGACACCACAGGGTGCAGCGTGTTTAATACCATCACAAGCAGACCTTGTCATGCAGCATTAATCTAAATGAGGGTAAATAGATCACAGACCAGAGCACTCCCCTGAGGGTTCCAGAACGGTGAACTGGCGCTGGACCCAACCTCAACAAGAGGTCACATTGGCTTCTGAGAGCGGCACCCTTGGCCTGGAGGGGACTCACTGAGTGTGA